TATGCCAACAACTCACAGCAAAAATGCAATTGTGTTATCCCACCCCACACTTTCTCTCCCTACACATGCCCACAACTCATGCCTCCCAGAAGAAGTGCGCCATGCCCACACACAGCTGTGGATAGCTCTGTGCATAGCTGTGGATTGCTGCCCATGCAATGGGCTCCTGCTGGAGGGAGACCACCCTACTCCAGGTGGGACCATCCCTCCCCTCTGGTTAATGCTGCCCTTCACTGTTGCTGGCAGCACACACAGGATCAATGCAGACACACAGGATCAATGCCCAGCTGCGGTCAGGGAGGCCAGCCCAGAGCAGCACTGACCCAAATCCGAAGTTCCCTGTCCCCTGGCTGCCCCGTACCTGTGTTGGAAGCCGCAAGGGGAGTGGAGCACGTGGCCAGGGCTCAGGCTGAGTGCCAAGCCAGCATCCAGCACGTCATTCGCACATGCAGGGACTGAAAATCCACTTGTGGTAACAGCACGTCTGTTTCCGCGAGGTGGTGGCCAACTGCGAGTGTTGCTCACTTCATCACCACCTTCCCCTCCACCCCTAAAGCTCATCCCAGTCAAGAGCTGTATTTTCCTACAGCCCTCTGGAACTGGTGGGAGGAACCATCCCCATCCCAGGCTCTGGGTCGGTACCTGCAAGCCACTGCAGCACAAACACCAAAAGAACAAAAAAACTGAAGGTGCTTCAGCTGCCTCCAAGCTCTGTCCCTGTTATCACATTCATACAAATATTTGGCTGAAAAATCCATTTCCTGGGACACTGCTGCAGCAAGCTGCTACAACTGTCAGCGTAAATGATGTTCTGCCAACGGCAATCTCGCAGTGTCATCTCTAATAACACGGCACTAAATCCCAGCTCGCGGGGGATGTGCTCAGCTGCTGGGAGACTCCTCTGTGGCTCGCTCAGCCCAGACCTCCACACCACCCTGCTCTGTTCTCCAATTCCTGCATTACTGCAGCACAGGATGATTCTGATTCTTGCCCATCTAGTTTAAGGCAAAGGTTTTTCCCACACATGTCACAGCAGTCACGGCCACCCCACAAGCACAGACCAGGAACACGGTCCAGAGAACACAAGGAGGGGAAATCCCACACCCACACTGAGATACATGTCCACACCTCACTCTCTATATGCCCCAAGATGCCCTCCAGCACCAAATGCCCATAATCATTCTCCAGACTGACCATCCCTTCCAAAAGGGCAACTCCAAAGCTATTTATTGCATTATCCCTATTTACAGAAATTTAAACGTTGAGGAACTGATTCTCCAGGAGTCCCGGCCCCCAGGGCCACGCTTTCACAATCCTTCTGCAATAACCAATAAATATGAAAAGACACAAACACTGAGATCTACATGAAGGAGCTCTGGGGTCAGGATCTCAAACTTGCTTCTCCCACTCCAGTGGGAGAAAACTATTCTATACTAAAATTGCCAAGATTTTTAACTTTCTTTAGGTCACTTGGGAGACACCATACTGCTTATACATACTCAAAGGGATTAAAAAATAAGAAGGAATGATAATTTTTTTTAAGATTCTCAATACTTTGCAACTAAAACTAATAGGATGAATTGCAGGGAACTGAAATTTGGGTTAGCTGTGGAGAAGAGAGATCCCAGCATTCATTCAATGGGGAAGATGAAAATTAGGGGGAGCCACACTCCTTGTGATATTTGAAAACAGAATAGATCAAATCTTTGTAAAAATCTACTGTTCTTGCAGTAGCACAGCTTCTGACTGTTATTTGTGCTGCATTGTGCCAGTTGTGGGGCAAACGCACAGCAAGAGGGAGTCCCTATTCCCTTGAAAACACACAAAGAGCGGGAATGTGCATGACACGGAGGGGGGAAGCGAAGTGACAGGCAAAGTGACCCGCTGAGACCACACGTCATGTTCCCCAAGCCCTTCTGCTACTCTTCTTTGAGAGCTGCTTTATGAAGCATGGCAACACTTCTGTGTGTATGTCAAGAACCTGGGAACACGACCAGGACACACAAGGAATTAGTTCTTTGTCTACAAGTTCAGAGTAGGGCTCTAGAGCCTGCTTCCAGAAAAAGGAGCTACAAGGAACAAGACACAGCTGACCCCAAGGAACGGCAGCATGCACAGCCAGGGCCTGGGAAAGCATCCCACAGGCAGCTCCTAATGCCCTTTTTGGCAGAGAGAGACACAGGGTTCATTCGTCACCTGTCCAGGTGAGGGGTGAAGGGACAGAGCTGCCAGATGTGTTTGGCACTCCATCCACTGGGAAGCAGAGGAGATCCAAGGGGAAAACCCAAGCTATCCCTGTTTCAGCAGCAGGCTCTGTTTCAGGGCTGTGTGACTGTATCCCGCTGTCCCGTCTGCTCTCTTCCCTTCCAGCTCCAAACACTGCTTCCCCAGGGAAGGTCTGGAAATTTGCACCATGAAGTCTGCACAGCCAAAACATCTGCAGCCCTGCCTGGCCACGGCCAGCATGTGCTCAGCCACAGACACACAGCACAGCCCAAATTCCCCCCAGGACAGGGAAGTCACACTGCCCAGGGAAATGACATTTTTGGGGTTCTTAAGACTGTGCAGATATGACAGAAAGGGGTCATGTTAATTGCTGTTTTTACTGGGAAAAGGCCTTTAATAAGGGAGAGGGAACAATTCCCAGCCATTGTATAAGGAACAGGGATGGAGGGGGGAGGAACAGGACAAATGGACAGAAGAGCTATAGGGAAACTGATTCTTCTGCTATGCACAGCTCGTGCAAATCCAGCCCTGTGTGGAAGGCAGAAGCATGAACACAAAATGTTCCCAGACCTGATCCTTGGAAGCATTTGCATTATCACCAGCAAGACCCCAAAATCTACCAGGAGCACAGCCTCCAGCATCATAACACAGCACTGCCTGTGCTGCCAGTGGGACAGCGGGTAAGGAGACACAAGGTCCCACTGCACAAACCTTTTCCAGGGGCCCTGGCAGTGCAGTGGGACTGAAAAGCTGGACTGTCACCTTATCTTGGCACAAAGGAGTCCCTTGCCAGTAGCAGGGAGGGAAGAAGCAGTTTAGTTGCTCCTGTCTGCAGACACACAGGAGTTTGGTCCCTGAAATTTCCAAATAAGCAACACTAAATAACTGTACTTCAGTCTATTGTTCTTTTGTTGCCTGTCTTTCAGTTTATTTTGGGTTTTTTTTCCCCTAGAATTATTTGTTTTGGTTTAGTTTGGTTTTGTTTTTCACAATCAGGAAAGGATTTCTGCATGACCTGTTCACTCCAACTATTATCAGCTGCTTCTGAACAGGGAGGAAAAGACTCCTCAAGCCAGTCCAGGCATCCAAAAATGTGCTCTGATGGTGAAGTGCTGAAACAAAAAAGGATCAATACCATGCCAGTCACTCATGGAGGAGTTTACAGCCTGCACAGGTCACTGCAGTTTCCCATCTGTCTCAGAGATACTTCTCCCCAATTATAAAAAACCCCAGAGATTTAACAGGCATGTTTTTCATCACTATCAGCTCAATCTGGTGAAAAACTCAACCTCACATATTTGTTTTAGCAGCCAGCGGGTGGTGTGGTGCTGCAGAAGAGAGATTTGGGTGAGAACTCCAGGCAGAAATCTGCTCGGGCCGGCTGGTGCTCCAGAAGGAACGCTTCCCATTTAACCTCTTCCATTGCCTCCATTTGCAAAGCAGATTAAACATTGCAGAGCTACAAGATGCAATTATGCAGAATGAGTTATGATGCCAAGGACATCAAATTCACCTTTGCAGCATGATCGATATTAGTTATCAACAGCACACCAGAGCCAGCCCAGGAGCTGTCTCTGGAGCATGGAACTGCCCATAGGAAGTGCTCCCCTCAGCTCTGAGCTTCATTAAACACAGAGAGGATCTGGCAGGGGCTGGCAATTAGATACAGAGCATTCAACCGCTCACGAATTCTCTGCAGATTCCACCCAGATTACCTCCATGACACAATCCATTGATCAGAGGTGTGTTCTCAGGCTCCACAGTTAATTACACTCCCTGCTGATGGATGAACAGCAAAGCCATTGCTGGGAAAATACATTGGGAGCAGAATGCCAAGCAATGAAATCCTGAACAAAGATGAAAGGAGCTGGGAAGGATTTCAGAGCTTTCAAGGTTAAAGCTGCCTGCAAGATACCCTGGGGTCAGCATGAGCAGGAGACACATGTGGCAAGGAGCACTGTCCTGAGAGAAGGGACAGCTCAGCAAGACTCCCAGCCCTGGTGAGTTTGTCCATTTGCAGGACAGGGATGATACAAAGCTGGGGAGGCAGCCAGGCATGCTGGGAAGGATGCTGGAGCCTGGAGACCCCCACTGCACTCATGCTCTCAGCTATGTCCTCATGTCCAGACTTGCCCACTGCACTCTTGGCTTACAAAGGAAAATGCACTCAGAGGCTGAGGCCCAGATCGGGAGGTGAAGGACAGCTCACACCCAAAGCTTTGCTCCAAAGGCCTGTATCACCATGAGAAATCCCAGCTGGGGCTGTTCCCAAATACCACATAAAGATCTCTGGAGCTCAGCAGAGCACCAGAAATACGGACACAAAACACAAGCTGGATGTCACTGTGCTCAGCCTCCTCTGGACTGGGCAGCCTGGATAAACACAGTCCTGCCAGCTACTCCAGCCTCCAGCTATTTCTCTCGCTTGCTTGGGAAGTGCCTTCGTCTGTCCATGCCCTTGCTTCTCTTGCTATCCAATGCCACTGCAGAGAACACCACCAAAAATGCTGCCCTCCCCAAGGAGCAAATGGGCTGCCTCATCCCTTCTAATCACCCCAGAGCACAAAGGAGTCCTCCCAATACTTATCCCATCACCAGCAAAGAGAAACCTTTCATGAAATGTTTCTCTGCAAGTTTTAACCAAAGCTGGCCATGTGCAGAGCCACACCAGGAGGGGAGATAGTCACTGGTATTTGAGCCCAGCTCCCCCAGCACACACAGTGATTACCTGGCAGACCTGCACCTAGCCCAAGAGGCTGCTGGCAGCACCTCACCTTTCACCACGCTGAGGGTGGCATCGTTGCTGTAGCGCTTTCGGGCGGCGTTGGTTGCCACGCAGTGGTAAATCCCAGCATCGCTCTCCTGCACATCCACAATTTGGAGGACACCATTGGGAAGAGTTATAAACCTGAGTAACCAAAAGGAAGAGTGTGAGACAGGCCATGCCTTACACCAGATATTCATCACCCCAAAGCCCTTTTATCCCTTCCTTTTCTCCTAAAAAACCTCTCATGTGCAGGTCCTGGTAATGACAGCAGAATGGGATCAGGGAACCTCTGAGCAACCCAACCCGTGGATATCAAAAAGCAGCAGGTACAGACCTATCCATCACCTTGGAGTATTCCAAATGCAAAAGCTGCTTTTGGGAGATCAGACTAACAGGACTTTGCTGACACAAACCAACTGGCTAGTACAAACCAACTCTGTACATTTCTACATACACATTTGTAAATGTCCCCAAACTTGAGCACATGCTACAGCCATTTTCAGCACTTGCTTTTTACAAAGGTTTGGTTGCCAGACAAAAAACACACTGCAAAGAAGTCTGAACATCATCTTTTTCTTGCTGCAGCTCAAGTACACGAAAAGGGACCAGCTGATACACAGCTGCACCTCCATGGGCCAAAGCAGCCATGACACAGCCACCTGAACCTGCATAATTTCTGGGTTGTAGTGGCTCCTTTCCTTCTTCCACAAGTTTCTGGCTTTCACAAGGTGACAAACTCACAGCTGGGCATTCAGTATCCTCTGATTTGCCCATGGGATGCTACTGGGAAACACTTCCACAGAGTGAAATGGCTACATTGCTCACGACATGAACACAATACTTGCTGCATTACACTGAACAAAGCAGATGATTAGCAATTAGCATAAAAGTAGGAGCGGGCTGTCAGCATCTCCATTTTCTGCCTGGATTCCTAGATGGCAGCCTCTTTATTCTTGAATGCAAGGCGCAAAGCCTACGTGATCCTTTTTAATTATATATGAGATCCATTTTTAATTGCAAGCCTCTATAAACAGAGCTGCCGAGGTTTGACAGGCAGCTCTGGGTTATCAGTCTTCATTATGAAGAGGACACATTCAAAGGCAATTGCTAAGGGGAGGGATGGCAGCTATTCCACAGGAACAGCACAAAGGCAAGTTATAACCATGAATGCCAGTCCTGCCATCCACAAAGATCACAGTAAGTCAAACTGTGGTTCTCCAGGTGCTGAGACAGCTGGAGTGCCATGAGCGAGGATCATGGAGCCAGGAAGACCATGAGACAGGTCACTCATCCTGCATTCAAGCTATGGTCACCAACAGCATGCCTGCTCCTGCAGACATTTACCCTAAATCTGCACTCATGGAAACACCTCCTTTGCCCTAAGCAGTCTGCTCCAGAGACAAATATCCCTGCCGTGAGTCTTGCATTGCTCAGCTACTGCATGATTTGTGCTCATCATGTCTTGTCCTCTTTACAGGTGATGAAGAAGAGCTACAAGAGCTCCTCCAGTGACCATTATGTCTCCATTGAAACAATCCTACAGCCTGATTCATGGACACTCTGGCTGAAGCTTTCCACGTACACAAAAGCAATGCCTTACATCCCTAAAGCTACATTCCTGCTACTTACAAAGACATTTTGCTCAGGATCAAGCTCCAAAAGACCTCAGAGGAGGTGATACCCAAAAGCCCTCATCAGGATGCCTCATCAGGACTCGGGAGAAAGATGACAAATATTTGCATCCTCTCAGCTCCGTGGAGGGAAAGCCTCCCACTGCGATAATATTTATTTTTGTCGTGCATCTGCTATTTGAGTCTGTAATTAATACCAACATATTTCAAACACCAGGCAAGGCATCTCCCAGCCACAAAAAGACACTTCAGTGATGTATCACAGATTCACTGAGGCTAGGACAGACCTCTGGTCTCTGGCCTTCCTTCTCTCACAGCAGGGTCACTATAACAGGGCATTCAGGACCCAGCTTCTCTTGAGGGCACAAAACAAGCCACCGTGTCTCTAAAGAGAGCAGGAGCTACAAACAAGGGAGTTGAATGAGGAGACATCATCAAAAGAGCTTGAGTCCCCTCAGTACCAGTAGTAGAGATCTACTCAATGCAGTACATCCTGTTGGGAAAATATGGCAGTGGTGAACATCGCTCTGCTGGGGAAGCAAGGAGGGAAGAAAAGCAGGATTTCTCTATCCACCATTTCTCCCAGCTGCTCACAAAGCCTCCAGCTCTTCAGGGTCCCAGCAGCCCTGAACTAGAAGCCTTCAGGCAGCCTGCAAGGGCATTTGCTCCATCCCCAGGCTCCCTGCAAGGAAATTTGCCTGATGACTCAGAGCAGACAGTTGTCGATGCTTTTCTTCCACACAAAGCGCAAATCTTTTTGTCTGCTCACCTTCACCAAGTATTAAGCAGGAAACAAAAACTAAAGGACAGACACACAAAGGCCCTGGAAGCAACAGAAACACTGGAACCTTGGCAGTCCTAGGAGTTTTTCTATTGATAGCTGCAGTGTCAGGATCTCAGAGAAGCTCGCCTCAATGGGGCGAAAGGCAAGCCCCCACCTGGATTACACTGAAGGACAGCACACTCAGAGCAGGGCCAGCTACCACGGCTCCAAAGGCAGCAAGAACAACAGGGCACACCCACAGAGCTCTTCCCCTCCCTGACAGCACCGAGGGGCTCAAGACTGCTCACCAGGACAGTGCCCAAGAGCTGAAATCAAGCCACTGCCTTGTGTCCAAACCCTGCAACCCTACAGCTCAGAGAACATCCTAGCATTAACAGCCTTATTCCCTTTCTTACCTTCTCCCTAGTAAACTGCCAGCACACCCTACCTTCAGCCTTTTGAAGGTGCCTAGGAGAGCCCAAAGCTGTCCTGAGTACAGTGAGGAACCTGCAGCTCTGTTGTAGCCTCAGTTTGGAAGCTCTTTTGCACACAGTTCCAGAGTCCGGTACATGAACATGAGCCACGTCAAGGCAGTCCTGACACAGCACAGAAATAAACTCCACACACAGATAAAACCCTCACTTAGCCAAAATGTGGAAAAATACACTGTGATTGCAGAGCATGTGGTCTGTAGGTTATGGATTTGCTGTGCAGACCTCCAAAGACCTCCAGTTCCCAGCAAGTGCTCATCTTGGCTCTAGAGAAAATAAACAGAATTTTGGAGTCTGATGTGAAACCCAGCCAGCACCTAAACCAGAGATTGGGCCAAGAGATGTTCCACACACCCCAAATCAACTGCAATCTAGAGAAATCCTATGAGCCACCTTTCAGCAGCTGCTGTAGATTTAAGACAGTGTTTACTCAATGTGCTTCAGAGCCAGAACTGCAAAATAATCTGTGCCTTACTCACATAGGTAATTTAGATTTTTGTCCTGAAGAGGGACAGGAAAGGTATTCCAAACACACCAGTCAGCACTTTGGTGCCCTTTAGGTTGTTTAAATACTTTTTTAAGATCAGCTCTCAGTACCTTTGAGGTGGCACCATGCTAGAACCTGCATCCAGGGGCAAAGGCTGAAAAGAGTGCCCAAAGGTAAGAACAACAAAGAAAGGTGGAGGGGGAAGACTTAGAGAGGGGGAAAAGGAAAAGCAAGAAAAGAGAAAAGCAACATGAGTTTAACATGATTATTCTATCCCTCTTAAACTACAAACACTGATGTAGGAGCACTACTCCAGGGCTGTACCTCCAGTCCCTGAGCCTGATTTTGCACACCCTCCCAGCCCTGCTATTCTGGAGTATGAAATCATCACCCCGACACCTGCCCAGCCAAAGGGTTGCATTTTCACAGGCTCATCCCACGTGTGCACAGGAGGGAGTCCACAGTAATCAGGGCAGCCTGAGATCCCATCCTTAGGCACAATGCAGGGAGGATAACAGAGCTCTGGTTGGCAGCCAACATTTCCTGGAATTCACTTAATTCCTTCGAAAGCCGGTTATATTAAATCCAACAACAACTAGACAACAACAAAAAAAGCAAATCCTTCTGAAAAAGCATATTAGCTAGAACATGATTTAAAAAGCAAGATCTGCAGACAGAGATTATGGCCTGGCTTTTAGAAGGAAAACAATTTTCAGGCTGCCTGTGATGAAAGCAATCTCTGAACAAGTAATTTCACAATATCCATCGAGCTGTCTCATTAAAAAGCCATTGTATCTATGACACACTTCTTCCAGCAATCCCTTATTTTCTGGGGTTTTTTTCCCTTCCTTTATTAATTTTTTTATCAACAGCCTCCTAAGAACTTTTAGTTGCCACACTCCAGATTCAAGGATATAAGTGGGTATTCTTATAGAAATAGCCACTGCTTCAAAAGTATTTCTAAACTTCCCCCCCAACACCTCCCTCTTTTCTCCCTCTTCTGCCACTTGGATTAACTTCCCCAGGAGGGAAACACCTCCTTCTGAAGAACAGAAAAGGAGTTTTTAAGAACTAAGGAACAATTCAGTTACTGATGTACCCTGCACAAGTGATGTCTACAGACAAACAGGCAGCCAGCTAATGGTTTATCCCCTCCTCTGTAACTGACTTTCATGAAGGAAAAAGTATCATGCTTCAAGACTCTCCTCTTTTATCCAGAAAAAGAAAATTCAGTGTCTTTTACTTGATGGTGTCTAAACATGGGAGTAAGACAAAGGGAAAGGCCTCCCATTAAAACCACAACCAAAATCAAAGAAATTCCACATAATGGAGTTCAGTTGGATATGCCCAGGTCAATACTCCTCACCCCAGGCCCCAATAACCCAAGGAATTCCATGTCATTTCACACAAGAGGACAAGCCAAAGCATTCCATGCCTTGCCATGCCCTGTCCTGGGCACACAGGCCTTTGCAGGGTGCAGGTTCTGTGCTGTAATAACTAGCACAGTATCAAGAGCTGTTTTTCCTTTGTGGTTTGAATATATGGGGGAAAGTTCATTTTATTTAGATGTTTATGGACCTTTCTTCCTCAGTCCCTTGAATACCTCCCCTTATATCACTTAGTTATCAGGTCCAAACCTGATATCTCTTCTCTATCACCTATCACCTCTCTGGTCATTCTACCATTTTATAGAATGATTTCCACATCCTAAATGGTCAGGTTTTGCTTTGCTCTTTTTCAAGCTGGCCCAAGAAAGCAAGCAGGGAATCACCTGGGCTCTGCTGGAACAGCTTCATGGTCCTTCTCCCAGGTGATGACAGGGGAGGGCAGCCCCTCGATCCGGCACTCAAACCGGGCCATGCCATTTTCTTCCACGGTCTGCGACTCCGGCTGCTGGAAAAAGCGTGATAATGCTGGGGAAAGAAGGGAAGGAAAGTTAATAACTCCGTGTTTCTGCTGAGAAATGCAAATCTGTTATGATGTATGAGCTAAGAGAAAGGCTTTTCTCTCCTGAAGACAGCCTGAAATGTAATTCCTCCTTTTCCTGTGCTCCTACAGACCCTCAGCAACCCTAACAACAGTAACTGAAAGGTTTCAATGTGTAAATTTGCTTCTTCCCTCATTTTCTACCTTAAGGCAACAGTGTGAGAGAAAGACAGGCAATTTGGCAGCTTCAGCAGTTACCTTCCTAAATTGCTTCCTTGTATGTTCACTTGCTCCATTTGGGAAGGACACAGAATGAGAAACAGAGGGGAAATGCCACAACCCCAGAGATGAGAATTTATCCCTTGCCTTGTAGCATTCCTGCAGTCACAGGAAATTAAAACAAGGCAAGAGGAAGAACAAGCCAGATGTCAAGTTACACAAAACAACTGCCCACAGACTGGCAGTGCTGGAGACCAGAGGCAGAGCCCATAAGAGTTTTGACCCTTCTTCTCCTACCTGCAAAAACCAACTTCATCCTATTCAAGCAGATGGGAGGCAGCCAAGGGGATCCAGACACCCTGCTAAGAGGAGGATGGATTTCATACATGTCAGGATACTTGTTTGCTCTCCAAGGCTCACCTCTCTCTACATATGTCTTTCCATAGTAAAGAGGCTGAACTGCTTTGGAGACAAAGCACTAAGGTTAGGAATTGCTCTTGGACCACAATCCAAGCTGCCTCATCTTCCAACCATTCCATGCACACAGCAAAACCCTGCAGCAGAAATCCTCCCCCAGGGCTGCCAGCATCTGTCCTACCAACAGCATAACCCGAAGGCATCTCAGTCACAGGCAGGGTTTTCAATATTTATGCAGGTTCCTGGATGGGGACAGAAAGCCCCCAGAAGAACTGGCTTCTGCTTTATCCATCTCTGTTAAACTGTCTTTGCTGTGAAACCCACCCTGCTGGACAAATCCATCCAACAATGCTCAACACAAGTGCCAGAAACCCCAAACGTGGAACAAGAAACATCAATTTCAGCCAAAAAACCACACTTGAATGCTGGGCTGAGCACAGCACTGTGCTCAGAAGGACCCTGAGTGATCTCCTGGCCCTCCAATACATATGTGCTTGTCTCACCACTGCTTTCCAAGAACATCCATCATTGCTTTGGATTTTGTAGGTCTCCAGACTTGAAGTTTTTCTTTGCATCTCTCACACACACAAACATCCATGCACACATATGCATGCCTTATTGCAGTGTGTGCTTGAGAAAGTATGCACAGTTGGGAAAATGAAATGCTTTTGCATGACCCATTTAACCTCGGCATATTCTCAGCTGTCATTAGTGTTTTTCTTTAATTTAAATACTTATCACATGTTTCAAGCAACTCATTGCTCTCCACAGCAGCTACAGACCAAATTCTCCCACCAGCTGTCTGCCACGTTTAGTTTTTCAATTCAATACAAATGGAAAGAAAAATGTTTTCCTGGACAAATTTGAAAAATACATTAATATGTAAGGCCTTAATTCAGCCAACTGCTTTAGTAACCTCAAATATACACTGCAGACCATTTCACCACAGAATAATTTTTACAAATTACAAAACCTTTTAAGCTCATGTTAATAAAACTTGCTGAATCCAAGAGTTTAAAAGAAAATCCATCAAATGTCAGTGCATATTCAGGATGGCATCACCAAAACAAGCTTCTCCTGACAGCAGATACCCTTAATCCTCTTTCCCATTATTCTCTTCTCATCCTACAGGTGTCAATGAGAATATGTTGGCAGGCTCTGGAGGGCCATGTACTCAGGAAGATCCTGATAGGAGGCAGGAATCCTAAAAAGTTAAATGTTTTAGCATTTCTGTTTCCTCCATCTCATGCAGTGTCACCAGTCTTTCTGCCGTTCATTATTAACTGACATCATCTTGGTGTACAAAAGGTGACAGAGCCTCCTGGGCTCCCTAGCTTACCAGGCAATAACTTGCCCTGGTTATTCCTGGCTATCACCTGCTAGACCTGGTCCTGCAAGCTCTAAATTCCCAGCTCAGAACCAAATCCTGCCCTTCACCTCCACCCAGCCCTATCTGCCCACTGTGAGTGGCTCTTCAAAAGCCAAGAAAAGCACTCCTGACAGAACCTCACTAGGATGTGGAGGAATGTGACCAAAGAGTGACCCTGATTAGGAAGCATGGTGTCCCTCTTGCTTGGAGCACACAGGAACAGCCATGCTTCCCAAGGGTTGTCACAGCTCCTGGCAAAGCCATGGCAGGCTGAAAGCTCCATGGGGGCTGGGGGTTCTACCATGGCAATGCACAGCAAACTGTCTCAGAGCTCTTCAGAGTGGGGTGGGCTTCAGAGGCTGAGCAGATCCATCATATTCCTTTCACAGCACGAGGTTAGGGACAGGGTGGACAGGGATGGCCTGGAAAAAATCACCCCTGCAAGCTCTGAAAGAAGCAGCCTGCAGAGTCCTCCGTGAAGGAGGGGACAGGGAACTTCAACTGGGATCTTTTGAGTACAGAAAGTAACACCAAATCAAAGCAAGAGAAGTGAAAAAGTTCCTTTGATGCAGAACTGAACAAGACCCCTGGCTGTCAGCCCTGAAAGGGTCAGACAGAGACAGACTTGCTGGCTGGGCTCATCATTGCTCCACAAACATCTGCACCAGCTTGGGGCCAACACCACAGCATGCTGTGATCCCTTGTGTTCCTCTTCTCTCATCCTCAGGAGCACCAGGGTGGAATGACAAGGCAGGACACGTACAGCACCTCTAGTGCAACTCAGAGCTGTGCTGCCAACAGCTGCTGCTGGAAGGAAAAAGAATCAGGCAAGGGAGGAGAGGACTGGAGAGCAGGTCCTGTCACTTGGACACGCTGCACGGACGTGCATGCAGGTCACAGCAAGTGCAGGACAGGCTCCAACACACTGCTCACCCTGGGGCCACAGGATCCTTGGAGGGGCTGTGCTCCTCCCACAAACAAATTCTGGGCAGAAGAATTCTACTGCTGCAGAAGTGCTGCAAAGTGAGAGGTTTTCCCACAGGGAGGCAGCGAAAGGAGATGCTTGAGGGGGAAAGGCAAACAAAGACGACACATACTCAACATTATTTTCAACTTCTCAGCTAAGGTTTAGCTTGCAAAGCCACCCTGAGCCACAAAACCTCCCAGCCCCGTTGCACTGATTATCCTGAACACCTTAATAAGCCACTCAGTAAAAATTACCCACTGCAGGTGAGAAGGTGAAGAGCATTTCAGCAAACTGCCCTCAGCGACAGCCGAAGCACGGGGCTCTGCACCTCCAGGAGTGGGGCAGGCAGCTCCCTCCCCACTGACATGTTAAACCCAGCTGGAGCCAAGCCGTGTGTGCCAAGGCTTTTAGCCTGAGCCCAGGGGTGACTGCAGGGTGGTGAAACACAGCACCCTCCCCCTCTCCCAGCAGCGTGATCCGTGCAGGAGGCTGTGGGCTTGGAAAGGCTGCCAGCCAGCAACACTACACCCCAGGCAGAAAATGCAGTCTATGCAAGGAATTCAGCCTTCTGAAAGGGGCTCGCTGCTCTCTCCCACAGCGCTTTGCCCCCAGACTCTCCGTGTGCTCGTCCTCTTTGTACCTTCTACAATTACTGGAGATATTTCCAAGGTGGGGGCAATATCAGCCCCCATTCAGATCTCATACACCACCCAAGCTACCCCTCTCTGAACGAGTCACCTCTGAACAGGCTGGGGGTGGAAGGGGAACATGCTAAGAAAGTCGTGGGAGCAATTTGCCACGGCCCCCCCGGCACAGCGCAGGCACAGCCAGCACAGCGCTCGTCTGCGGGGCCATATGGCAGCACAGGATTGCTCCTGCTCTCCACAGGAGCCAGCTCCCCACCTACCCAAAACAGCATCTAAATCCACATCTAAAGTCATGGATGGTCCAGAGCCTGTGCATTCATCTACACGAAGTTCTCCTGCCCAGCGTGGCTCTGCCTACAGTCCCTGGCCTTCACTCACCTATGCCCCTAATTCACAAAATAAATAGGATAAAATATATAAAATAAATCCTTAAAGTTAGAACAAATCCTAGTCTGCCATTTCTCAAATCCCCGACACGCAGGGCGCCACAGAGAAGACACAGTGTCCGTGTGGAGAGAGGATGATGAGAGATCCTGTGTGTTAATTCCTGCTGTGGCCTGTCCCTCCAGGTGCAGGAACACTCCAAACCTCCCCCGTGCTCCCTGCCAGCAGCCACGCGATGCTGGCCCGTTCCCTCCAGGCACAGCAAACGTCTTCATCTGACAGTCACAATTACTGTAATTTTCTACAACCTCCCTTGCACAAAATGTTTAAGCTAAATTAAAAGCTTTAACAAATCTTCATCAATGTATTTATTAACAGGTAGAAAGCTACACCTTCCCACAACTACAATAATTTCCATATGGGAGCACGTGGAGCTCAGGAAAACCTGCAAACCAAATGTATCAGCCTGGGCAGCTGCTTGTTTAACAGGCACACAGGAGCCCTCAGAGCCTTGCTCCTCCCCATATGCCATGGCCATCACTGCCACAGCCCTGCATGGGAACCCCATTCCAGGGAAGGAAAGGGCCTGCAGGTCAGAAGGAACAGCTCATGGCAGGAATAACACATCCCACCTGCTGAACAGGTTTTCTTCTACTGCCCTGTCCTGATTAGCAGTCCCCAAGGCAATCTGCACAAAGAATAAGTCCATCCACTCCATCCAGCTTTGGATAGACCGTGTTCAGTGGCAGAGGAAAAAATGAAAAAACCCAAGCCTTTACAATCCTCACTTGCTCCAGCTGAATGCTAATGGAGCAAGTGCTTTTGCCCAGCCCTCGGAACAAATCGAAGCGAGAGATGCATTTCATTAATCAATTCTCTCGCTGCTCCCTGCTCAGAAATGGATATGTTATGTCAGGTGCATGTGTGTGCCACGGAAGCAGCATTTTTCCTGTGCACATGGTAATAAAAGGAGACATAGGAGTACACACAAGGAAAATGTTCACCTGAAATTTCCCATTTCTGGGACAAACACTGAAGGGGATGGAGAGAGGCATCACCCATTTATGCTCCTCTGGAAAAATCCAGGAGGAGAGAAGGGCAATTTAAGTCAGCCTCCCCATTTTGAGATGTCTCCACTGCTCTAACTCATTAGACACCAAACAATAAACCCAGGACCATAAAAGAGACACAGCCCATTGCCACTGGGCAAGAGACACAGCACACACTTCAACATAAGTCACCCCTAAAAGGGAATAAATATATACTAACTCAGGCTGTCTGGGACTGAGGCAGGAGCACCTAAATAAATCCATCTGGACTAATGACAGCTCCTCCCAAACAATACCTGTGTGCAGGATCCCCGACCGCATGCTAAACATTTTCTGGGCAGAAAAGGAGGACATGTTGCAAAGGTCAAAGATTTTCCCCTCATCTGGCAAAGCTTCACCAGAGTTCTGGTTTCTACAGCACAGTGCTCACAGACTGAAACACTCACTTGGCCAAACCTGGATGGCCCTGTCTGGGGTACCAGAGCCTAAAAACATCCCAATGTAAAAGGGGTGTCAGGACATCATCTCTGCACCTTCACCCCCCACAACTCCCATGGTGTGCCTATGCAGCTGTTTTTAGCAACATTTAACATACACAAGTCACTGTACTAGAGAGAAGTGTTACTGTATTTGCATTATTTTCTAGCCTCACCTATTTGGCAGGTCAAGGAATCATTTATTTGCACTCACTTAAAATAGCCCCCAGGAGCCAAGCCTGAACAGAAAGGAATTTTATTCTTGAACTCTGGGCAGAGATTCAGCAGTTCAGATCTTGGAGTGTCCTCCTCGATCCAAACAAAAACTGCCCTGAAGAACCCTTTCTTTCATCTCTTCCATACAAAGAGATATTCACCCCAGAAGCTGCCACAGCCAGACCCTCCCACAGTCACCTCTCCAAGCACAGGGTGCTGCACTCCAGGCTCTGAAGTTCTCTGCAAAAACAAGCACTGTCTTTTGGAGAGAGGAGGGTCCTGTTTTTAATTCATAGCTCATGGCACTTACCTCAGAGAGTTACACAGGATGTTAACAGTGGGATAACAGTAAGACACCACTGCTTATTTGTGGCCTATTCCCAGTTTCATCTATACATCATTATTATGATTTTATTTCAGACATTTTATCTCAAGCTCCTGGGGAAGCAGATTTCTGTGTAAGTACCAGGAGGGGAAGGAAAGCAAATTAACAAAACCCCCAGAACACTTACTTGAAAATCTGACTGCAGCTGTTTGACTGGTGACAGTCCCTAGGGAGGTGTGAGACACGCAGGAGTAATTGCCCTCAGCACCATCCCTCTCAGGATATTTACTGTCCTTTGCCACAGCCTGGGATGAGATGAAGAGCGATCCATTTGGAAGCACATGGAGATGTTCTTGCTCCACTAATGGAAACCCATTCTTCTTCCATGTGATATTGATCACTTGCTCAACAGGGGTCAGGTTACAGTCCAAAATCACCACTTGGTTTGGCTCCAGTATCACCTTTGCAGGACCAGCACTACAGCTCAGCTCCAGAGAGTCCCCTTCTGACAGCCTCCCTGCAAAGAAAAGACAGTGTTGCAGTGGGGGTTACTTTCCTTGATTTAATCACATCCCAGTTTTACACAGTGAAGGAACCATGGCTGGAGGTACCTGGTGAAATTCAGCCCTGTTGGGAGACCAGCACAGTCCATGACTCCTGTGCACTGCATTCTCCATCCCCCATTACTATGGCTGTACAACCTGCACCATTTCTGCCATTCTCAATGGGCCCAGCAGCCACCCCTGCTGTCCACATTTGTTTCCATGCTGGATTCAAGCAGAAAGCAGCTGGAAGAAGGTGAAGAGGTGGTAACAGTAAGAGCAAGCACAAAAGATGCAGTAACGGTCCCAACCTTCCATGGCTGCCTGTGGCAGGCTGCCCTCTCACCTGCACATCAGAGCCTCCTCCAAGGCTAATAAACGAGACAATTAAGTGCAAGGAAAAGTATCCAAGCCCCATGTGGCACTCCAATGCCAATGACCACAACCTAGTTAGAGCAGCTCTCCCTCTTACTGGCAGTCCAGCTCAAGTCCAGCTGGGAAAGCAGCAACTCCCACTGATGTTCATGTTCTGGGAAACACATTTCAAAGGAAAGACAATAAAAGAACAGTTAAAAACATGACCTGCTGTCTCTGAGCACTTTATCCCATATAGGTGAATCCAGAGTGAGAGGGGATGGATGCATTTTCCGCACTAGAAAAGGATATTCCAATTGTTAGCAGACAGTACCCAGCACGTGCCCTTAGGCAACCTTCCTGCAGCAGCCGGAGGCCAGAGCAGTGACCAGCAACAAGCTCAGCTGAACAGATCTTGGTCTGGCCAACTTCCAAACCCACGTACTGGAGGGGGCTCCACCTCTGAAACAATGCTCAGCATTTCCTACAAGAATATTGCCATTAATAAAATGCATTTGCCGTTAGAGTTCTCCAGAGACACTAAGTCAATGTTAGCTGGCAGCGCTGCTTCCACACACCAGCAATTTCAATCTCTGCTGTGCTCAAACCATCACCATCCACTCTTTTTATGGCTCTGCTCCAAATTATTTTGTCACTGCTCCAATCAGAAATGTTTCCTGCCTCTATAACAAGTTTATCAACACTGGATATGAACCACATGGCTCCCTGCCCGTCTCCTATCGCAGAAGGCTACAGATTAATTTTATAGGAATTCAAACACCCTATTAAACCTGCTACTACCTACTGCTGATAAAAGGGCTGCACTTTAAAAAGAGTGTGTGTTAAGCATGCAATTAGGGGCAATGACACGCAAAATTACATATGCAGGGAGATGGAATTATTTCAAGGCGTGTGCTGGAAACCGCAGGTGCCCCTGGAAGGAAGGGCCTAACCCTGTCCCCATGTGTGGCCAATTTGGTGCCCATGAGGACGGGAACTTGTCAGGTTTGTCACTGCTGCTGGGTTCTACAACGACCACTGAGAACTTGGTGTTGGCCAGCTCTGTCCCTTCAGTGACAAGGAGGCCACACAAGAACCCTGCCTGCTGATTGCCATTGTTATGGGACAGAACAGACCCTCCTCTGTCACCTTCACTGGGACATCCAGGGGGCAATCTCCCAAAGACGAATTCAGCAGGATACAGAGATGCCCGTGTCACAGTCAGCACAACAGCCAGGCACTGTACTCCATGACAAAGGGGCAGCCACTGCCACCACAGAGCTGCCTGCAAGTCTCTGGATTTGGGTTTTCCCACATGGATGCTTCCACCATGCTGCTATCGCAGACTCTGAAGGGAGAAAGCACAAGCAGAAGCAGCAGACATCCCTGAGCTCCAGTGTGTACATACCACAATAGAATTCCTAGATTTGTAAGCCAGCACAGCCCTGGCAGGTCCAGGTCAGGCAAATGTCACCAAGTGCCCTCCTGTAGGGGAATTCTGCCCTTTCACATCTCCTACGGCAGATTGGTCCTTTGAGGATTGCAACAAGCTACAGAACTCAGTGGTTCCCCAGGATAATAGATGGTTCCCAGGGGAACATGAAGCTGAAAGGCTGCCCTGGATGTACTGGAAAGACACTGCTTCTGGAAGCCTTCCATGCAAGACAGCTGCTACTAAAAAACTGTACAAGTAATGAGAAATTTAGTGCACCAAAGAGCTGTGCAGGTGACATGGACAAGCATAGGAGAGGGTTAACAGCTGGAGAAAACTCATCTGAGCTCAGGACAGGAGTCATGCTCACATGCTGTCATGAGAACCCCCATCCCTGAGAATCCTCATCCATGGAGGAGCAGTGGCACAGACACTTCTCTGAAGGGATGTCCCTGTAGCAGCTGCTGCTGGCAGCATGTCACCAGGGCTCAGGCAGCCTGTGTGTACACAGCACCTCTGTGGAGGCAGGGCTGCTATGGCAAAGGCTGAGCTGAATGATGCAGAGCTTATTCCAAAAGACTTGAAACTTTGTTGGATAAAGTCTTCATTCTTTGCCTTTTCTTACATTTGTCATCTTTAGAAGCTCCTGTTCATCACTTGGGAAAACAGCCTGTATATCTGTCCTATTTTCTAGTTTCTTCAGACAGCAATTAGAATGGCATTTTGCTGAAAATACTCCTCCTCTTCCAAAGGTGAAGTGCAAGGGGACAGCCAGGAATAGAGAAGGGATCTGCAGTGCAGCATCCCACAGTAAGAAGCAATTATCAGCCTCTCAAACTTCAACTCCTTAAAAAGTCAACTCAACCTGCTTGTAGCAGAATAAGAACAGAACATACTTTCCATCCCAGAAAAATTAAGTATTTGCTTTTCAAAAACATGTAGTGATGTTTGTATATCCCCAAATTACCCAGTTCTTTTCCCCAAAGTCAAAATCTATCAGGATCCAAGCTTCTGCTTGGTTGGTCAAACATGTGTGACCGCCCCCTCCTTGTTTATTATTTACGCAGCCTGCTGGGAAGGCCTCCAGCTGAGCAAATGAAGCTCCCACCCAACACCAGACTGCTCTGACCTGTCCCGAATCATCCAGTCCTCCTTCCTGCCCTTTTGGCCCCAAAATACTGCAAGTTTTTGGTGACAAGCCATTTGCACATACAGAGGTTGAGCAGCAGGGTCCAGAGTGCAGACCTGGCATTGCAAAAAGCCCCAGTATGACTTTTGTCCCGAGATGTTCAAAGAAATGCATAAACACTCCCTGATTAAGGAAAAAATACCTTCCAGGCTCTGGAAACATAGGAGGAGGTCTGGTTCAAAACACCGCACTAAATTAGCAAGCCTGACAATGAGATAAAAGCCCCTTCAAGGGAAGGGATCAGAAGAGAGTAAAATTAGTCCAAGTGAGATCAAAGACAAATGAAATCAGGAATGTTAAGTGCTTACAGAAGCTGCTGACTATTTCTAACCTCTATTCTTCATCCTGTAGTGACAGAAATGGATAGGACCCTGGTTAAGCACAGAGCCACGTGCTCGTGCAGCCTCCTGCTCACCTCCACCCTCTTACCTGCCAGAGGTGATGCTGTAATGAATGAAGTCAAGGTGAGCTTCCAAGATAGGAGCCAGAAGGGCTTTTTACACATCAGTCCTAGGCAGGTGTTCCAGCTACAGACCTATGCTTTGGAGCCGAACAGCTTTTTGCTTTTGACTCCTGCTGGAAGTAGTTTCAGTGCTGAGCTATTCCAAGGTGGGCAGTAATGGCTTTCTCATAAATGTATGTGCAAGTACACACTCACATGTAGATGCATATGACATACTTGTGCATTCACATACAGAGTTCTGGGGGAATGCAGATATATTCAAACACAGAGAATGCTCTGGAATGGAGGGACTTTGATGTAGCAAGTTAAAAGCATTTTGTTCCCATGAAAATTATATTTTCTGACCCAGGCTCTGCAGGGTTTTTTCACCCTCCCCTGTGTTGCTAACCCCTAGGCTATATTGTGCATAAAAACAGCCCAGGAGAAAATGTTCTTTTTCTCCCATCTATTTCCTCACTTCCATCAGCCATCCATCCACCTCCGGCATCCAGGCCCAGTGAAGTAAATTAAAAAGTCTCCTGTTGAGTGGCATAAAAAACCAGGGTGTTTCAAATGAACAAAGGTCATCAAATCTTCAAGGCACAAAGCTGTCCTCTGCCCTCCATGGGAGCACAGCCCCTGCCAGCCTGAGTTCAGATCCAAGGCAGGCATCTGAAAATCCACATTAAACCGGCCAACAACCCTTCCCCAGTCGCACATCTCAGCATCCAGCCAAACCCCACTCCTATTATTTCCTCTCCCCAACATCAAAGGGAGGCAGGAATAGCCCAATGTACCACTGAGTAAAGGGGAAAAAGAATGGATTCTGTTAGGTTTTAATTTCAAATCTATAACTAAGCAGGTGAAGTGTAAGCGAGCAACACAGCAAGGTCTGACAGATTGCTGACAATGCAATTGCTTGGGCAGAGGTGAGACCCTCACAGCAGTGGTTTTACATCCAGGACATGCAGTACTCCAAACCCATGGAGTTGGGAGCTTTCACTCCACAACTAAGAACAGCACAAATCCCCACTTGTATCCTTGCACATAAGGCTATTTCCCTTCCCTTCCCTGAGGTTTAACCACTTAAATCAAGGTGGAAAAACCTAGACAAGGGAGAAGCTTGTTCTGGTGAAATTTTGGCTATCGTTAGTAAACATGTCCTTGAGCTCTGCTACACAGCACAAGCAAATAAAAGGTTACTGTTCAACAGGAGACAAATGGCTTTGTGCAGAGGAGAACGAGTCGTGGTTTAGTAATTACTGTGAAAACAAAACATTCAGGCATAAACCAAAAGAGATTTAGTGCACTGGCATATCTGTTCCTTTTCTAGCACAGCTGAAATCACCTGATCCACAACCCCTGAGTAAGGCCCGTAAGCACATCTCCATCAATTCTATCTTCTCTTCAAGAAACTCATTCAGCTGGGGAAAGCCAAAGACATTTAGGCACACACAAGATCCCAAGGCACAACCACTCCTACAAACCCCAGCCCACTCAACAATTCCAAGGCTCAGACATTCACCTCAAGGCAGGGGAGGCCCATCTTTAGCATAGC